AAACAATAACAAGTTCTGAATTTCTGAAATTAATAAATGCATCTAGTAACTAGTCTATGTTATCTATCAAGTCTCTCTTCTTCAAGCATACTCTTCATCACCTGCACTAAATAAAGTGCAGTACGTAAACAAAACAAAGAAAAGTAAAGAAAAATTAGTTTTTTAACTAAGTAAGACCCACCGAACCCCGTAAAATAATATAGTTTGAAGAAAATAGATTTCGTACTTGACGTATAAATTCAAAAATCCATTTAGTTCTCAAAATACAATTTTCAAGTTTAAAATCAAATTCATCATTCAAAACAACCTTTGAGGTTCAAAATTAAAAAACTATAAACTTTATCCGCTCAATGCAATTTAACTTTCAACATATCAACTTTCCCAAAATAACATATAAATACTTATCCATAAAGATTTCATATTCCAATAGACACTTATCCACAATTAATTCTCCAAAACCATTTACTCTTCAATTCAAAAATATTATCCAAGCTACATGAATACCCGAATTGTCTACTTGTCCTATCATTATGAACATGTTGTTCATAGATTACTCCACTCCAAAGATCATTTTGAATTTGTAGTTCATAGATTACTCAAAATCTCATTATGAACTTGGGGTTCATAGATTACTCCAATTGTCATTATGAACATAAGGTTCATAGATTACTCTACTTATCATTATGAACATATAGTTCATAGATTACTCCGCTTATTATTATGAAAACATGGTTCATAAATTACTCTACTTAACATTATGAACATATAGTTCATAGATTACTCCACTTATCATTATGAAAACATGGGTAATATATTTCTTTACTTATCATTATGAACATATAGTCCATCGATTACTCTACTTATCATTATGAACATATGATTCATAGATTACACCAATATCATTATGAAAATAGGTTACTCCAATATCGTTATGAACATTTAGTTCATAGATTACACACATATCACTTAGCTTCAAAATACTTTATCAAAATATCTATTTCAGATTCAGGTCTCAAAATCATATGCCAAACATCACTGATTCAAAGTTAAAGTTCACAAATTAAGGTTTACCCAAAACTATTTTCAAAATAGTATTTAATACCATATTCAAAATAATCCAATAAGGATATTTCTAACTCCAGAATATATATGTAAATATTCATACCAAATCATACATTTAAAAATATATAATTTGTCGCAAAAGATTTGATCCCACAACACTTCCCAAAAAGGGGCTTTAACCCAAACCACCACTTCCCAAAAGTAGCATTTACTACCACCTCCAAATTAATTCGATTGGGGTATTCTAAACCCATAATATATTTGTAAAATAACAAGTTAGAATGAGTTCAAAAAATACGTCAATTCACATCGAAACAATCACCACAATTTTCCAATCCAAAATAACAATTCCTCAAAAATCACAATTTTAGCCAAGCAAACTGATTTGATAAATTCACCAAAACTCACATGTTCATAAATTCACTGAAAATCATACATCATCATATCGATACTATAGTAACCGAAATATTCATAAACTTTCAAAACAAAACTCAAATCATAGCACAAACCGTAATTAATACATAATATGGGCAAAATAGTAGTTTTGGTTGCAATAGTCCTTACCTCGAGGCTAGCAACGAATACTAAACTTCAGACCTGGCATGAGGGGTCACTTAGAGTATATAATCTCTTATATAGGAGGCTCTGTCCGGCCGTCGCCATTTGGGGCGTTTCCCGATTGAATTTTTTGATGAATGTTTTTGAGCATCTTATTCATTAAGTCTAGTTTACTCATACCAAATTTCAGCTAACAATTCAATAGGGAAGACATTCAAGATAAGTCTTGAAGATAACTGCGCAGTTATCTTCAAGTATGAGTAAACTAGACTTAATGAATAAGATGCTCAAAAAAATTCATAAAAAAATTCCACCGAGAAACGTCCCAAATGACGACGGCCGGACAGAGCCTCCTATATAAGGGTTTAATTACATTTTATATGATCCTTTTTCTTTTTTAAATTTCTAATTTCATTCCCAAGCAAGTGTGATGATAAAAAAATTCATTCCCAAGTGTATGGTTCTCATATGTAGGGATGTAAAAAAAACCCGACCTGCAATGACCCGCCTTGGCCCGAGACATTTAGGGCAGGTCCGCCCCGCCCCGTCTTGCAAATGGGGCGGTTCCGCCCTGCCCCGCCTTTACAATGGGGCGGGTCCCAGTATTAGTATTGACCCGTGCCGCCCTGACCCGACCCGACCCGCTCAATATATAAGTATATATACTTTTTCTTAAATTATACTACAAATATACTTCAACATACATATGTGTGTATACAATAAATCATAAATTCTTTGATCTTATTATATATATATATATATATATATATATATATATATATATATATATATATATATATATATATATCAGAATGAGATGAACGACGTATTATCAATGTCTTCTTTATATATAGCATTTAAATACATATATTCAATTATTAATATAATTAAGTAGATTAACTGTTCACGTCTGAGTAATATTTCCTTAATTTTTGAAATTTTTAGCGTATCATGAATTTGATTTAATATATTAATTTTTAATTATTTTTTAGAGATAAACTTTATGTAGATTCAATTGGTAACAATTTCCCACAAATAAAATTACATAGTAACTAATTAGGTTACGGCGGAGCGGGTCCGGGTCTTGGAGTACCCGCCCCGACGATAACATGTAAGTATATTAGAAATCGAAAAAAAATAGCATTTTACAATGCATCAAATCCAAATCAAAGTGACTATCTAAGCTAGAATAAACTAACCTAGATATAATGCATCAAAATAATGGGACAGACCCCACCTCACAAATTAATGCTCAAATCCAAGATTTAGACCAATAAAATCAAACAAAAACTAGCTTCAACAAGTTCCTAATCTAAACATCCAAAAAAAGCCCGGAAAGGAGTAGTGAATTTAGCATCAAAACAAACCTCCCCTTTCTTCTTTGTAACTCCCGGTAATCCCTCTAGACATCTTGCGGTGAAAGTTAAGCCCTTTTTATCCAAATCGTCCGTGAGTCGAAGGGAAGTATCCACTCGAATCACACTAGCCCGCACAAATCTAAACGGTTTGACGACCAACTTGAGTGTCTTATCGTTAACCATCTCGCATTTGATGACGACATCACGTTGGTGCAAATCATTCTCATCCGTAAGTACCCTCTCAATATCTTCCAAAGCGGCCACAGATTGTTCTTGGGCAACCTGGAAATCAGACTGCCGTTTAAACCCGGTCGGGTTTGTGGCTGGCCCGGTCGGGTTTTGCCCCTGGACAGTCGTATTTTCCTGAAACCCGGTCGGGTTAGGGCCTGGCCCGGTCGGGTGGGTCTCCTGGGCCGATTCTGCCAGACTGGAAGCGGGTTCAACAGTTTCCACAATTTCCGCAGGTATGTTTTCCTTTCCCCCAATTTTTATTTGTTCATCTTCACCTTTCTCACTTGATTTCACCGTATCATCATCCTTTTTTGCTAGCTTATTGCAAATAAACGGGTGGTGCCCATATATCTTACAATGGAAGCAAAAATTTGGGAATGTTTCATACACCACAAATTGTTTAACTACCTTCCGGGATGGTAGTCGAATAGGAAATAAAAGTGGCGGTGGCTTCGAAATATCTACTTCAATAAGCACTCTAGCAAAGTGGTGATTAGACCTATCATGTGTGACTTTGTCCGTAGCCAATGGGACACCAACCATGGATGCAATCTCACTCAAAGCATCCTCATTCCAAAGTTTCAAGTGTAAGTTAGGGAATTTAACCCAAATAGGTACTTTGAGAAACTCTTCATCATCAAAGGAAAAATCATCCGATAGTGCTTTTAACATAAGTAGTTTCCCAAAAATGGTGTAAGGTCCGGTCCCTCTTTCAACACTTTTGTCCTATCACCCTCACTTTGAAATTTAAATATAACCCAACCCTTATCATGGGGCTTAATAATGCACTTAACACCCCATGTGTTCTTCAAATCATAAATCTCTTTTAGACCGGGAAATTTTCCGGTGAAACAACCGACTAAACAAAAACCCCACATTTCAACCATACTAGGCATAATTCTATCGGAAAAGTCAATGGTTGTGCCACTACGCGGGATGTACCTCAATTTAAAGCCATTCGAGGGTGTCCGATTGTCCTTAAAAAGGGAGGACCAAGGAGTAGCAGTCCCTGAGCTAGCTGCAGCAGTAAGACCATTTGTAGTGGTGGGGAGTCTAAATTGTTAAATTTGGACTCCGTCCATATGAAAACGGTGTTTAGACTCCGTCAATACTGTTTTTCCCCCGCATCCGTGCACTGTCAATAAAATACACTCTAAATATTTTTTACATATCAATTTAGTAAAACATTAATTAAATTATTATAAAAAATATTTTCCTTTTAAGTTTTTTGCCTAGATAATTTTGAAATGAAAGATACGCATTTCGATGTAAAAATAAATAAATTTCACTAACTTTTTTAAACAGTTTTTGGTTAATAAAAAGGAACTTAGTTAAAATAAAATTCAATTATGGAATATTCAGTTATTATTTGTGAAGGCTTAATGAATTAAAAATTCGTGTTTCGTGCTTTTTTGGGTTCAAGAAAACTTCAACTGTTAAAATTTAATTTTTTTCTTTTTATATATTACATATTGGTGTCATATGAAAGATCATAAAAAATCATGAATTTTGATATATTTTTTGAAGAATTTGGAGAAAAAATAAAAAAAGTTATAAGAGTTTAAAATTAAATGGGATTTTAATGATGTATGCATGACATCATCATGACATCAGCAGAGTGCATTATCTACGCGCAGCAACGGGCCCTTCTCTTCTTTTTTTCCTTTTTCCTTTTCTTTTCCCCTGTCAACCCAACCTTTTATTTTTACACTCCTTCACTCCCCTTCCCACTTTTACTCCCTCTTTTAATCTCCCACTACACTCAATTAAGAGTCTAAAAGTTTCATATTTAATTTTTTGACTCCTAATGTGTAACCACTACAAATGGTCTAATAGCCTGGGTTTTCAGAGTATAATTCTTTAAAACTTCAGTTTGTGCATGGTTTTCTTTCCCAGCAGCATTGACCACATCTCCGGGTGTTTGGGGAGCACTTCCAGCAATTACTACCCCTTTAGCTTTCTGCCCAGCATTCTTGGAGCCCAAAATCAAAGGCTCATCCTCAGTTACAGCAGCAAGAGGGGCCACAGGAGGTTGTTCACGAGCATTCCCAGAGTTTTCACTGCCGAGGTAAGTTCAGGGAACTCCTCCCCTGCTCCATCCAGCAGCGCAAACGAGGACCTGGTAGTTCGCGAAGTTGAGGATGCGCCATTGACTTTCTTCCTCGCCATACCTGCGCACTACGGACGTCGCGGACAGAGGTGAGCCTGAATTCGTCTGAGCTTCAACTACCCCCAGCCTCCACAGATTTAGGGCGCTTCTCCACAGTACTAATAAAACCCCAAACAACACTCAAAAATCCAGATACAAGCAACAGATTGTAAAGAAGTTCAAAAACGACATGAACAGTAAGTCTTCATATCGACGAACTCGTTTTTCGCGATTTGTGGTCGAAATCCTTCATCCTAGGCTCAAATTGGAGTACCCGCCCCGCAAGTTACGGGGCGGGTCCGGGTCTTGGAGTACCCGACCCATTGCCATGTGATATGTCTTAAAACTTCTCGCCGCTTAGACTTCTTTCATCTTTGCCCTATTTACCACACTTGAAGAACTACTACTCCGTATAACTGTTAAAAACCCTAGTATATTTTCCTTACTCTGTAGCCATGAGTGATGATGGCCGCAAGCTTGAGGGTAAACTTTTGTCCTCTAAACTCGGATTTTCCATTTACTAATTTTGCTTGCACTTTTCTTGTGTTGCTTTTTATCAGTCTATTATTGGCATTATTTGATTTTTTTGTAAAACTTTTCCTCCCTTTTCGCTTGAAGTTTTTAGCTTATTATGGTGTTGGCTGTTGCAAAAACAACACTATACTGATACCACAATGTGTCTAACATACAAGAGATTAGATCTAACGTCCACATTGGCGTTATTTACTTGCTTTGTCTGGTCAGAGATTTTGAACTTATGTAGATGATTTTTGTAACAATTATGTTGGCAAACTGGAATGACATTTTGCTTGTCTACTGTTAAAATGGCTGCACATAATCATGCTTATAATTTTGAAACAGAAGGTGATTCGACTCACCCCGAATGCGAAGTGAATGAGATTGATAATGTCGATTCTGAGGAAGATGATGAATATCCTGAATCTGACGGCGAGGAAGATGACGAACATCCTGAATCTGACGACGAGGAAGGAGTTGGTTCTAACATGTTTGAAGAAAGACCCGTTTATTCTCCTGAAAGTTTGCAGCGTCGTATTTCCTGCTTCATACTTACCCAAAACGTAACTCCTCATATCGTGAAAAACAAGGATTTCAGAGACATGATGACATCACAATTTCCTTCTTTGACATTGGACCATGAGACCACCATGAAGCATTGCTTGACCCTTTTTGAAGAATCAAAGACTGAAGTTAGGCGCTTTTTGAACAGCATGGGCCGGCTCATTTGTCTTTCGGTTGATGTGTTAACTCGCTACAGTCGAATTGATGTTGGCCCTGATTTCATTTGTTTATCGGCAAGCTTCATTGACAATGAGTGGAAGTTGAGAAAATGGATTCTCCGTTTTAAGAAGTACGGTAATGATGACTTTGATCAGTTTGTAGTGAAAGCCTTAGATGACTGGAATCTGAATGATGATAAGGTGTATACTTTGACGTCTCGGAAAGTTGATGCACCCGGAGATTATATCCAATCGACTAAGTCCAAGCTTGAGGGGAAGAACAGATTGCCTTACCATTCCCGTATATTTTCTGTGAGGTGTTGTGCAGAGATGTTTGGTTTAATGGCTGAAGACGCATTTGGCGAAATATCTGATATCATTAGGATGATAGAAGAGCTGAGCTGGCCAAAATCAGAATGCATGTGGCACCTAACGAACTCCAAACTGAAAAATGCTTTGGAATTGGAAGCTCTTGGAGAGTTCAACTCCGAATTAGTAACTAAAAACTATTCTGTTCCATCTGCTGAACAGTGGGAGAAAGTTCGCATTGTCTATAAACTTGTCGAACTCGTGCATGATGTGGCAAAGAAGATATTTGAGGTTAAAAATTCAACTGCTAATTTATTTCTGTATAATTTTCCACAGCTTCGCGCAAGTTTGGTTCTTGAAGCAAGTAGTCCAGACGCTTTCACTCTCAAACTTGCAAAGAAAATGCTAAAGAGGTTTGATAAGTACATAAAGAAGAATTACCTGGTCTTGGCCATCGCCTCCGTGATGGACCCACGTTGCAAAATGCAATTCATAGAGGATGTTTCAGCAAAACTTGAAGGTATAGATGGATTACCTCAAGCCAGTGCTGTTTTGGAGACGGTCAGAAGTATTTATGAACATAATGAAGCTGTTAAAGTCAATGAGGAGACAGTGAAGTCGGATTTGGATTTGTATCTAGAGGACCCTGTCTTGCCACAGGAAGAGAAATTCAATGTCTTAAAATGGTGGGAATCGGAAGGAGTTCTGAAGTATCCAAACACGTCTGAAGTTGCCCGTGAAGTTCTTGCTATTCCGATGTCAGTTGCAAGTTCGTTCAATGCATACTATTACTTGGAGAACAGACCCCCACCAGATGTATCCATAACCACTTCTGGGTCTCAGTTAATGAATGCTGTGGCGTGTTGCAGAAGTTGGAGGCCTGAGAAACGTCTGTCTGCTTTCGAAATCAAGTTCCTCTTTCACTCCGCTGGTGTTAATATTTTCTAAGCTATTTATTCCTAAGCTGTTTGGGTCATCTCTTTTGAAACTTTCTGGATCCTTTTTGTTTTTGATATTATATCCAGGTTCTTGTTGAATGGCTCACCTAGCTGCTGCTGTTGCTAACTTTTGATTTGGCTTTTCGTCTACCTCTTGTTTATCTCTGTAATTTCCCGAATTCTGAAAACAATATCCTTTGTGACTTTGTGCCTTTTGATCTTATGCTGCAATTACGCTTTTCTGCTTACTATTTTTGGGGGAAAAAATATAGTTTGACACATCTACTCTTCTGGGTCGAGATTATAGTAAGTAACCGCTGGGAAAGAAAGAAAAGTTTTACAAGTTTCTTTATTTATAAGCCCAACACTAGCTAGATAGGAGGAAGCTGGTATAGGTAGAAGATGTGAGGAAGTGATAGGCTCGTTCCGTTCCTATCTTTTCACCTATACTTTGGGTGTTAATTGTCTAATTTTTACAATTAATCGGGTGACTATTGGGGGATTTGAGTGAAAATTTGCTATTTTTCGGTCCCCGTGACATTCATATTCAGTGTAGTATTTTTGTACACAATTTGACATTTCTGAAGTAATTTGATTGTAAAGTTAATATGTTTGGACCGGATCATTCAAGGACTGTTTTTGAAGTTAAGTGCAATCCAAAATGAAAAAAAGGATAGCAGCAGTTTATTTAATTGATAGCAGCCCAAAAAGAGCTGACTTTTTTTCGGCACTTAGCCGCACTAGGGATTAGCTGCAGCAGCTCTTCCGTTCTTTCTGTACTTGTCAATTAGACTCAGCGGAGTTTTGTTCACTTCTTCATCGAGGAGAGCATCTTTTCTCTCTGTTCCATTTCAATTAGCCACAACCAGCAGTTTTTCTCTTCGGCGCAGCAGCAACCACAAAGACTAAGCAACGATTTTCCTTTCCTTTACTGTTAGAAGAGCCGGCAGCAGCAAGAATGGATTCACGAAAGGCATAAGCTTCACTTTCTTCAATTTATTTCAATTCAATTTAGCTTTTGAGCAAGAATTGTAAGCGTTAATATTTTTGACATCACTAGTTCGTACTTTTGGATTGAATTTTGAATTTGTTTATCTCCAACTTATAATTTCAGTTTCTTTCCATTAAATAGTCATACTCCAGTTTTTTTTGCTAGCTCCGTATAATGTTTATCAATATTAGTGTGATGTTAGTTTTAGTATGAGTAGCTAATTTAGTTTGAATTGGGGCTAGGGTTCATGGGTTCTTGAGGGTGTGAATTTAGTTTTTTTTTTTAAATTCAATTAATTTTCTGGATAATTGTATGAGATTAATCATAATTGTCTATATGAATTTGATCACCTCATATATGAATTTTTGGATTTAATTCAATTCTTGTCTATGAGAAATTGAGTTAAATTAGCTCGGATCTTATACAAGCAATCTGATTTTAGAAATAAGTTAGGATTGTGGAAATTTGATTTAATTCTTGGCTATGAGAATTTATTTCATTTTCTATCCAGGAATAATTGAAAGTTAATTTACTTAATTCTAATCCAGAAGAACACCCAAAACCCGAACCATCCAATTTGAACCTTGCTTTAATATCTAGAATTAATTTAATTATTTATTTTCCTCTCTACTTATTTTTGCACTCGCTATTAGTTAGTATTTTAAACCATCCAAAAAGAAATATTTATTCGGAAAGATTATCATGACTTGTGCTAGCCTGTGATCACGGACTGTATTTAAAACTTCCTTTTTGCCACTCCTTGAGAGACGATACTCGTGTCTGGCTATTCTTCGGATTAGCCAATTACGTTTTACTGAAAAAAATACACCGATGAGGAAGTTTGGAGGAAAATTCAATAATGGGTAAGGCATGTGACTTTAGATTCGAGAAATCATCAAGTGTCATTTATAGATTTTTAGGAAACTTCATAGGAAGTGCACAAATTTAATATAGTTTGCTGACCATTTTCAGGCAAAAAATACAGTTTGACACATGCACTCTTCTGAGTTCTGAGTCGATATAATACTAAGCCTCAGCTCATACAATACTTTAGACTTGCTTTGTTTAAGAAAAAATGACCAAAATAATACTCCAACCTTTCTATTTGACAAAAATAAGACATGTTCTCAAATTGGACAAAAAAGAGACTCAATATTACCAACTGGACCGAAATACCCTTAAATTCCCTATCCTTCTCCGTCATTTGAAATATCATCGCCTCCAAAGCAGCGTACATCTAACGCCGAACTCCAAAGCCGCACATCCAGAGCCGCAACTCCATAGTCGCACCTCCACAACCACACCTCCATCGTCGCGCTGCGCCTGCAGATGTACACCTCCATCGCCGCCCGCGCCTCCAGAGCTACACCTCCATCGCCGCGCCGCGCCTCCATCGCTGCAAGTCATAGACGCACCCCCGTCGTCGCACCTCCATCGCAGAAATCCAGATCTGAACCACATCGTCTCAAGCCAGATCCGACCACCATTGCCGAGGCTAGATCCGAACCACCATCGCCACAAGTCATCTTCTTCTCTTCTCACGAGCTCTACATTTTCTTCTAATAGGATGTTGCAATTGGGGACTAGGGTTTCTACCCCGTGCGATTTCGATGCCATGGCGACGGAAATGGGCTGGCAGCTAGGGTTACGTGCGGTGGTTGTGGATGGTGGTTGGGTCCAGGGTTGGGTACTGCCAGTTGGGGGCTGAGGTTGGGTCTGGTCTGGTCAAAGTGGAGCAGGGCAGGGCTGTGCAGGGGCTGGTAGGGATGGGGCAGGGCTTGTGGGCGTGGCTAGGCTGATAGGGGTGGGGTAGGGTTTGGGTGATGAGGACTCGGGCTGGGGTGATGGAGGCAGGCCTACGGTGATGGTGGTGGGGTAGGACTCTGCGTGTGATGGACGAGTGGGTGGCAGCGGACAATAATATTTAGTGGTGGTCACCGGAACCACTATCAACGACGTTGATGATTGGGACGACGAGGGTCACCGGTGGCGGGGCGGTGATATATAATTGTCACTAGCGAATGAATAGGTCATTGTTCGGAGAAATGTAATTGTAACTAACAAATGAATAAGTCACCGTCTGGAGAAGTGTAATTGCACTAATGTAATTGTAATTAATAGAATTAGTATGATTGTAATGTTAGTCACTGTTATGATTTTTGGTCACTGGTGAATTTTGGATTTTTTGTCACTAATGATTTTTTGTCACTGACGAATTTTGGTCACTGGTGAATTTTGGATTTTTGGTCACTAATGATTTTTGGTCACTGGACGTTGGTAACTGGACGGACGAATGTTGGTCACTGGTCGAGGTTGATTACTTGACGACATTTTTGGTCACTATTAATTTTGGTCACTGACAGATTTTTAATTTTTGGTCACTAATAATTTTTTGTCACTGGAGGATTTTGGTCACTAACAGATTTTTGGATTTTTTGTCACAAATGATTTTTGGTCACTGGGTGGATTGGTCATGGTCACTAGTCAGATTGGTCACTGGACGGGTTGACGTTGGTAACTAGGTGAAATTTTTGGTCACTAATGATTTTGGTCACTGACGAAATTTTGGATTTTTTGTCACAAATGATTTTTGGTCACTAGATGGATTGGTCATGGTCACTAGTCAGATTGGTCACTGGACGGGTTGACGTTGGTAACTAGGAAAAAATTTTGGTCACTAATGATTTTGGTCACTGGCGGATGTTTGGAATTTTGGTCACAAATGATTTTTGGTCACTGGGTGGATTGGTCATGGTCACTAGTCGGATTGGTCACTGGACGCGTTGACGTTGGTAACTAGGTAGAATTTTTTGTCACTAATGATTTTGGTCACTGACGGATTTTTGGATTTTTGGTCACAAATGATTTTTGGTCAGTGATGAATTTTGGTCACGATAATGGTTTTGGTCACTGTGGCGTTATTGTAGACTAATGGGTGAGATTCTATTAAAATAAGGGTATAATAGTCTCTTAACCCATTGTTAGTCTCATTTTTGGAAAATTGAAATAAAGGTCTCTTTTTTGTTCATAGCTCTTTTTTTAGTATTATTTTAGACATAACCCCATTTTAGGAAATTGTCCTAAATGGGACTAATGAGTTCCTAAAAAGCACAAATAGGACTACTACTTTTAAAATTTTCTAAATAGGACTAAACATTGATTTTCTACCCTAAATACCCCTAAGAGTATTAATTCATAATGAAATGCTTTAATTCATAATAAAATCATAAAAAACGTAAAAACTATTTTAAAAACGTAAAAAAATTATAAAAAATTTATAAAACATTTATAAAATAAAAAAATTAATTTTTTATTTTTTAAATTTTTTTAAAAATATAATAAAAAATAGTAAAAACCCATAAAAAAATGAAAAAAAATATGGATACCTTTCCCACCGCCTCCCGCCGCCTCCCAGCACCACCACCTCCGATTGGTGAAATTTCTTCCACTTTTGGTAAAAAAAAATGTCATATTTTTCTGAAAATGCCAAAAAGATGGCATAATTACTCTTCAATATGCCAACATTTTCATTGAATATGCCATCATTATGGCATTATTTAAAATGTTGGCATATTTTTCTCCGGTGATGGGAGCTGGTGGTGCTGGGGGGTGGCAGGGGGTGGCAATGTTTTTTTTTTTAATTTTATGATTTTCTTTTTTTTTTTCTTTTTTTTTTAAAATATTTTTTTTATTTTTAAAAAAAATAATTTTTTTATTAATTTTCTATTATTTTTTTACGATTTTTAGTATTTTTTTCGATTTTATTAATTTTTTTATGATTTTATTATTAATTAAAACATTTTACAAGTTATAAGGGTATATTTGTCAAAACACACATAAATAGTCCTATTAAGGGAATTTAAAAAATGTAGTCTTATTTGTGCAATTTTGCCACTTTTTAGTCCTATTTAGGGAATTGACTCTTTAATTTTTCCCAAGAAATTTTATTTGTGAGTTAACTATAACTAATATAACATCTAAAAGATCACGGAGAGAAAATATAGTATGAACACTTAGTGATAGAGGTGTATTAGAGATGTTCTAATGCTGTCTTAATTACAATGAGAATGACTCCTATTTATAGGTGAAAGTGTGAGCTCAATGAGATTAGGAGATCATTGTGAACTACATATTTATCACCTTGAAATCATTATTATGACTTTGTAATTATTTATATAATGGTGATAATAATTCCTAATCAAGAATGATTGGAAGATGACTAATTCAATTATACTACCTTCGTCCCGCTAA